CCACGAGCTAAATTGGTGATTTCTGGATGTCTGCTAACAACCTATACATAAGTTTAACAAAGCTCATGTAGCACGATGACTTGTCTGCACGAAGCAATAAGCGGCCCGTAGCGCAATGCTATGACTCACATGTAAGTAGAAGCAGATAGTTTGTAATGAAGACTGCGGATTGCTGATAGACATAAATAATAAACTGCTAATGCCAGGTCGTCGTGCTGGTGGAAGACTCTTGATGCATGGTACAATGCGTTTACAGGTAGAGATATACTCCTACGAACTAAATAGAGAAAATAACAATATGCAGAAAATGAAATTAGCTAAATAATGCCACCGGATCCCAATATTCATACAAGTGGACAAAAGTCGTTTACAAGCACATAAATGAAAACTTGTGCATTTTTCAAATGATCATCATTTGCATAATTAAGCATATTCAAATATTGAAAAAACACCCCAATGCTTTGAAATGCGCACTAATGCATTCACATCATGCAAGCATGTTATCCAACATATAAAATACACCGTGTAGTGGCAGCGCACTACATTGACTTGCAAATACATCATGCACTACATGAAAGTGCCAAATAGTCATGCAAATGTATTATGCATGCAAACAGGCAATGTATGGATGCATTATACATACATATTGTATAAATACACTATACACTATGTTAATGCAATAGGTCACTACACTGCATATCAACATATTATGCAAGATGTGATGCTAAGACATCAAACACTATGTTCATGCATTAAGCTACTACATAACATATCAATATATCATGAAAGCACAATTAAGTATAATGCAAATGAACAATGCCAACATACATGCATATATATAAATGCAAATGAACAATGCCAACATACATATATATATATATATATATATATATATGAGTACATATGTGAACATGTCAGTATGTAGGTGAATATAACCGTATATGCAAACACATAGTTATGTCATATATATCCCTTGCATTGCATGCAAATAGCCACCATACAAATGCATTATGTAAAATATATTTAAAAACGTATATCCGCATGAGCCCCGACGAGCGTGATGTATGCACATCTGAGGATGCTGCACATGTCAAGAATGATCTTAATTTCTAGCCTTACCCTCTATCGGCAAGTAAGCAGAGTCGACATGGCCTGAATCATGTTGGTACAACTTCTTTAAGTAGATGGTGGTGAATGTCTAATTTTAGATGTTAAATTTTAAATACCTAAACATGCTGGTACTATATGTTGGATGTTATGTATCAATTTGATGACTATCCTTAATTGAAAGTTCACTCTATTATTAGCAGGAATAGTTAATTATAGGGATGTGCGCCTATTGGAAACCTAAACTCAGATCATAAAGTCCTCACAAAATGAGGGCAAAATCTTTGGGTAATGTCTTATTCAAAACTCAATATGCTTTCTGAAAATTCGTCTCAGAACATACTTGGTAAAACTCTCCTCGATGACTCAAAAAAAAAAAAGAAAGGGGCCACGGAGAGGCCGAGGCACAAATTTTCAAAGCCCACATATTTTTGGCGACTCTGGTGAGGATGGTTTCTCTATCCATGTTTGGCTAGTCATCTATATGCTATATTTATAGGTTTCAATTACTAACATGACCCAAAAACCTAACCCGAACCCGACCTTGAAAATCTAGGTTAGGGTCCACCCGTGAAAGAAACGGGTTCGGTTTAGGTCTAATTTATGGACTCGTTTACATTTCGGGTCAGGTTCGAGTCAATCTTGACAACCCGCTAGCTACGCAACTGACCAACACCCCCATCTTATTACTTGGATGCCCGTTTTGAAATTAATAGGAAAGCTTGTCTGCAAGAAGCAACAAGCGGCTTATAGCGCGACGCTAAGACTCACCTGCATGCTGAAACAAGGAATTTGTAGTGAAGACCGTGGATTAGTGATAGACAGAAATTGGAAACTGCTAACACGAGGTCGTTATGATGAATATATTAGCTCACTTATAAATGAAAGGTGGAAAGACTCCTGATGTAATGTACAACACGTTTGTAGGTAGAGAGTACTACAAGGTAAATTCAGAGAAAATAACAATATGCAGCAGATGAAATGAGCTAAACAACACCACCGGATCCACAACATTCCTAAAAGCAGACCTACGACATTTACAAGCACATAAATGGAAACTTCTGCATTTTTCAAATGATAATCTTCTGCACAATAAAGCATATCGAATATTGCAAAAACACCACATACATTGTAATGCACACTGATACATTCACATAATGCATATGCATATTGCAAAATATAGAACACAACATACAAGCATATTATCCAACATATAAAATACACTGTGTAGCGGCAACACGCTATGCCTACTTGCAAATTCACCGTGCACTACATGAAAGTGCAAAATAATCATGCAAATATATTATGCATGCAATAAGGCAATGAATGGATGCATTATACATATTGTACAAATACACAATATGTTATGTTAATATAGTAGGCCACTACACTACATATCAACATATCATGCAAGATGCGATGCAAATACATCATACACTATGTTCATGCATTAAGCTACTACACAATGTATAAACATATCATGAAAACATAATTAAGCATTATGCAAATGCAAAATGTCAACATACATCATACATATAAGTATACAAGTACATACATGAACATGTCAGCATGCAAGTGAATATATGAGTGTATATGTGAACACATAGTTCTGTCATATATACCCCTACATTATATGCAAATAGCCACTATACAATGCATGATGCAAAATACATTTAAAAGTGTATAACCGCATGGGACCTGACATGCGTGACATATGCACACACGTGACATTTCAGGATGCTGCGCGGGTTAAGAAATGAACTTAAATTCAAGCCCGATCCTCTGTCGGCAAATAAGTAGAGTGGACACGGCTTGAATCATCGAACAAATACACTGCCGTAACGTCGTCCGAAGTTTTTTATTTTATATGTTCATATTAGGCCTTCAAGGTCTCTTACAAAGAAAATTTACATATCAAAATGAATATCTTGGGTTCCGATATTCGAACAATAATTTCACTAATTAGGAGCTTGACACGATCCTTTTTTTACAAGTAAACAAAGCGATAAGGTTCAATTAATGAAATGATCATATCCATAAATATCTCTATGATGGCCGCATTGATAGAAAATCTCAATCGATGGGGACCCTAAATATTCAAAATGCTTCTAAATTCTCACAAAATGCATTCAATTGACTTTAACGTATTCATGAATGATATTAATGTTTAAAATTAAAATAAAACGCTAAAACACTTAATGTAAAATACCCATTCACCCTCTGCTACAGTTTGCTGAGGTGGATAAGTTTGAAAATCGCTTCAGCTCATAAGGAGCAAATGTCTAGTAGAGAATATCATTAAGATTCATTCTAAAATCATCTCTTGCTAGTAAGGACGTGGCATTTGTGCTATAACTGGTGTTTTCATCGCAAAAGGACACCACATGTAAATGATTATGAGCAGGACCCTTTGACCGGGTGGTTTTGTTGCTAAATGACACAATTAAATTGCGATCTTGGTCAGAGCCCATATATTCCCCAACGGTGCTAAATCTTTGAGTAATGAATTGATTGGGTCATGATCCATAGGGCACAAAATCCTCTGTTAGCTAAGGTGGACTCAAATTTGTCTATAAGGTACCCTTAGACGAAGCAACCCATGGCTGCTGACAATGATCCTTCAGACAGGCTGGGTTGACTACCTTATTTGATTAGATGGCTTGGGATGATGGAATCATGAGATTTTGATCGGGTCTATCATCATTTGCCCCACCATGCTCTTTAAGTGCAAGGTAGTGAATTTCTAATTTTAAACATTAAATTTTAAATACCTAAACATGCTGCTGCTATACACTGGATACTACGCATCTATTTGATGACTAGCCATAATCAAATGTTCTCTCTCGTTATCTGGAGGGATAATTAACTATAGAGGCTTGTGCCTATAGATAAAATGCACTCAGATCATAAAGTCCTCACAAAATGAGGTCGAAATCTCTAGTTAATGTCTTATTCAAAGCTCAATCTGCCTTTTAAAATTTTTCCTTGGAACATACTCTTAAAACTCTTCTCGACGACCTGAAAAAAGAAAGGGGCTGCAGAGAGGCCGGGGCATCTATTTTCGGAGCCCACACTTACCATTTTATGTCTTGTGTAATTGTTTATTTCATATGTCTGATATGTTACTTCATAGTTCAATAGAAAGTTAACATATCATTGTTTAACATATTATTTGGGTATTATACAAAAAACACTTTAAACCTTTATTTCATTTTACGAAAATTTTGAATTTTGAGGCGTAGCCTCAAAATATCTTGAGGCTTGCGCCTCATCTCGCGAATGACAAACGCCTCAATACCCAATTGTGCAATTTTAAATCTTCATAGCCATCACAGTGAACAAATCTATTTCATTAACATCAGTGTTCTCATTGGCAAGACCTATTTAAAATTACTAGTTCCTACACTTATAATCAAATTCTTGGTGGAATTTTATGAGCATACTTGGACTTCTGAGCTGACATTTTCATTTTGTTGAAGCTTCATGGTTACAGCTATGTATAAACTTTTTGAATTTTACAATCGAATTACTCTTGTGCTGTATTTCGCATATTGTTGATGGAAATGACAAGGCCATCGTTGTTATGGCTTCTATTTACATTATGCGTCTGTTTGACTTTGTATTTTGAATGTAATATAAAGTAGATGCATGCAAAATGAATGCAATTAACTGGGCTGCATTTTCTTCAAATTTGTGAAGGAAATTAACTATGAAGTAAAATAACTCTTCTTTGCTAAAATAACTTCAAATCAAGCACTAAAAATTAACTTTGCATGCAAGTACTTTACTGTTTTCATTGAATTTAGTAAAAAAAGAGTGCATCATTTATGCTCTTTATTACGTTGAAGATCACATTCCGTGAATATGACAAGCTTATTTCTTCTTATCAACAGTGGGGCTTATTTGACAGGCAATTTGGCAGAACAGACTCTAAAGATCCTGACCCGGAAGGCAGGATTCCTCAGTGGGACAAAGCGTCTGTTCAGGAAATGAAAAGAAAATTCTCTAGCATTGGCTTTGGACCACGTCAGGTGCTCGTCACACCCTTTTGACTGTTTTTATTTGTTTTTAAGTTAATTCTTATTGGTTTGAATGCCTTTGTTATTTTTTATTTAATGAAAAGTGAAGCCCACATAGTGTTGAATAGGCGTGCACAAAAAAACAAACAAAAATCTAACAACCCAAGTTGTTTTTTTTCCCATTAAAATAAGTAGCGTGTGATAGAAAAAGTTGGACTAAACTAATAAAAACACTGTTCTTAACAAATTATTTTTTATCATTTTCAAAACACTGTTATTAACAGGAGATTATACGTACGAATAATTTTCTTTTGATTTTAAAGTTCTCACCAACACTAGTTCCCCTGAATGATAAGATTGCTTCACATCACGAGTGACAAATAAAACATCAATCTATTAGATATCTTAAGAAACTTTATAAGCATGCAAGGCTCAATTTATCAAGTAACCTAGAGAACAAGCACCATCCATATCACAATGTTTTCCATCATACAAGCAAAATGATAAAAACAATAGGGTAAATCAAGTAAATTAGTGGTGCAGAAAAAAAAAAAAGATAAAGAAATCCAAACCACTGTTATTATGGTTTGACACCAACACTTGCATCTATGCCTCAAGGTCTTCTCATGATTTCCATTAATCTCTCCTTTAGCGACCATAAGGCAAAGAAGTTTCTCTCCTTCAAGGGTAATGTAGAAATCTTACACCCCATCTTCTATCCCAAATTTGAATACCATTACTCTAACCATCAGCTAGTCTAATCAAGTTTTTAAGATCTTTAGAGATCTAATAACTTTAAAGAATTCAAAGTCCTCTTAAAATAGCGACATCATCAAACTATGAGGACTATTAGGTATGTAAAGGAGGAAGGAAACAATTAGTGCACTCTCTCACAAAAGAACTCTCTATATAAAGTTTGCTGAAGTAGGAACAAGAAGTTTTCGCCAAGAATACTCTCCGCTCTATTCTCCATAGCCAATATACTACTCTTATGTTTAGGGTATGAGAAAAATCAATTTATATGAATTTGTCAAAATTCCTAAATATATGAAATTAAATAGAGCATTAATCGATTAAATTATATGATCTATATCATATAATGCGACCTATTCAATACTAATCTAATCATCTTATTGATTCAACTTTTTAATTAGATCAATTAAGGAGAATCCATATAGCACAATGAAACTCTAATTCATCATGAATGATTAGCCCTACTTACCAATTTGTGTTGATTTCATTTTTTATTTATTTTACTCGTATGTGTGTTGTATTCAAATGCATAACTATGAAAAAAATTATTTTACTAAAGTTGAAGCTCTTATCTTGAAATATTCCTTGCTAGCTTGGATTGCCTTACTGGTAATCTACCTTGAATTGCTCTGATCATAGGCTAGCTTGATTGGCTTGTATCTTGTGTTTCATTTGAGTCGTGTGTTTTCTTTGAGTGTCCCTAACACTAACATTTCTCTTTTTTATTTGCACCTGAAATTTTAGTACACATACTTGCACAATTGTTTTTACTAATAAGCATTAGCTCAAACCAAATTATATTTGTGATCATTACAACATTTAAAACCAATTTATGCTCATATGGGATTAACGATTTCTTGTTTGATGATGACAAATATACTTTTAATTGTATATAAAAAAATTCAGAGTTTTCTTAACTCCCTTGAATTTTTGCTTCTTAAAAATACTTTTTGTTAATATGTATTGCATGCGAATGTTAAACGACATGTAATAAGCTCAGAGATCAAAATAGACATAACAACTCATATTTAAATATTTAGCTCAAGCTAACTTATAAACATAATTGAATGAAAAACATTAAACAGAGGACAAACACGAAACTTCAAACAAAGAAATACAAAAGTAATGTAGAACTACAACTACACTACTGTTGACGCACTTTTTTTTTTGCATCGACTCGACTCCGATCGAGCCCGACTAGGCTCGATTGTGCTCGATCGATTCGATCGAAGGTCGTCGAAATGAAATTTACTCAAATCAAATCCCGATTTAATTAAATTAAATCAATTTAATTTAATTTAAATCAAATCAATCCAATTCAAATCCAATCGAACCTCGTCGAGCTCAATTCTACGCGATTCGGTGTCGATTCAAGCTTAATTTTGCAAAATTAGCTTGATCATACCCAATCGGACACAAACCGACCCAAATTGGTTCGGGTCGAGTCCAATCCGGACTCAATTTCAACCCTAATTTCTCAATTTGGGCTGAATTTGATTTTCAAATCAAAATTTGAAATGAAGGGCTCAGATTTCTTGTGGAATTTTGCCCTAAATCCATCGTTTCACGCGTGAGAAGAGGAGATAGGGCATTTTGGGCGGTGCCTTGTGCGCCTCTAAGAGAAACGAAAGAGAGAAAGGGTAGCATTCGGCTCCCCCTATCTATCCCGTCCCCACAAACAGAGAGAGCGAGAGAAGAGAGGCGGAACCCCCTCTCACGCGCGACTCCATCAGGCGGAACGAGAGCCTTTCGCGTGCGACTCTACCGTGCGAGGCCGAGCCCGCCTCCGTCGCCCTTCTTCCGGCAAACCTGAGCTCTGCGTGCTGCTATTCTAGGTTGGAAGGGAAGATGGAGCTAGAGATTTGAGGCCTTTTTCTTCATTCTCAAGAAGTCAATCAAAGGTTAAGCCTTCCATTTGCTTTCTTTCTCAAAGATCAGTGGAGTTAGTGGCTTCTCCCCTTCCTCCTTCAACTCCGGTGACCTCGAGACGAGTTGGGAGCTGTCCGAAGCTTCCAAACAGAAAAGAAAGTCTCCAAAACCTCCCGAACAGCGGTTTGGAGCCTTCGGAACGTCTTGGACAGCAGTGGCGATGTTGGGAAAAGCTTGGACAGCAGCCACGCAACCTCTGGGAGCATTCAAACAGTGAAAATTGCTGTCCGAAGCAGTTTGGACAGCAAATCCACCTTCCGGAAAGGCTTGGACAGCAGCGGCGACATTGGGAAAAGCTTGGACAGCGGTTTGGACAACAATTTGGAGCGCTAGGACAATCCGGGTGAGGTAAAATCCTTAAACTTAGTGAAACCTAGGGTCCCCCCCAAGGCCAATTGTTGTGTGGTTGACGCCCCCGAACCTTAGGTCCTTAAAAACTTCAATTTTCGCTCTCTCAAAACCCCTTTGTTGGCTGTCCACTTTGCAAAAAATAGTGGAAATTCGGTGATTTCCATTTGTTGGCTCTCATGTGAGGGTCCGGAGATTGTTATCCACACCTCTCAAATGTATGTTTATGCATCATATTGTGCCTAATACCGTCGCCTACAATCATGCCCTAGGATAGGTGCTATCATTTGACCTCGAAGTCAATGATAACACATAGGTTTGGATTGTCACTAGTTGCATGCATTTCTCATTTAGATGCATTGTCATGACAAAATAGACATCCAAATCTATGAGAACTTTTGCATGCATAATATTAATTACCTCTAGAGTTTTTGTTTAATGCTTATATTGAATTTAATTGATTTGGGCATTTCTAGTCATTGTGAGACACAATCTTTCAAGGGTCTATGTAGCAAACCTCACAACATTGATGATCAATTAAATTTATGATTTGCATCACATGAAACTTAGAGTGTAGAGTGACAATCTTGAATTGATTGTTTGTTGAAGCAAAAACTAAATATATGAGGATGTTCATAAGCTTGAAACTCATCTAAATTGTATGCACCATTCCTTCAAGTACGAGTCATGACAAAAATGACTTACGATTTGAAAGAAGTGTGCGTATATTGAAGTTTATGAACTCTAGAGAGCTTTTTGTGAGTGCTTGAATATGAATTTAATCAACTAATGAAAAGATCAAATCATTGTAAGGTCTCCCATTAACTTTCCAAAGTCTATGTTGTAGATCCCACAAAATATATTGTTGGTTAAGTTTATGTACGACATTTTACAAAACAAATGCTTCATTGCTTTCAATGATCAAAATTCCTGGATTTAGAGAATCATCTACACATGCATGCATTCCTAGGTTCTTCTTAGATCATACTTAAGTTGATCTTAAATCTCCTAGAAGTTGTAAGGATAGATCTTCTCTATCCAAGTTTCTAAGTCATGCCAAAATTGGTTTAGAAACGTCTCCTAAAACCTTAGGAAATCAATTCTTCCCTCTCCTAATTGAATCCAAAATACTCTAAAAGATGTAGGGAAATTCTCTTTCTCATGCACATCTATGTGGGCTCCGAAAATTCGGCCGCGGCCTCCACTCGCTTTTCTTATTCGGCGAGGGAGTTTTAACGAACTAAGTTCCGAGGTAAATTTTGGAAGGCAGATGGGTTTGTAGATAAGACACTACCCAGAGATTTCGCCCTCATTTTGCGAGGACTTTATGATCTAAGATATGGTTTCCTATAGGCACAAGCCCCTATAGTTAATTACCCCTCCCAATCACGAGAGAGAACTTTCAATTAAGGCTAGTCATCAATCAGATACGTAGAGATACGTGTTATCTGGCATATAGTAGCAGCATAGATTTGGTAAATTATTTCATCACATGAATCTTCAAGGGATTTAGGACCAAATCCTAAGTTCAATCTTTTCTTTGTTAAGACATGAAATTAACAAATGAATCATCCTTTCCCATGTACAATCCATGGAGCGTTCTTGAAGCTTCAAGTGTTAGAGTACATGAATCATTATAGCTTGAAACTAAATTCTAAGCTATCCATCCTTTTGTTGGAACATAAAACCAACAAACCATCTTCTTCCTTCAACCCCAAAGTTGTGGAAAATTTATCAAATCATTTATTCGTTGGAACACAAACCAATGAGTAATCTTCTAGAGATAGGACTCAAATCCTAGTCTTTCTCATTTGTTTAGCCCAAAATTGAGTAAATGTTCATTTTCCTTTGAGTACCAAATGCTCAAAGAAACTTCACCATTTACTTGGGCTAAATCAAGTAAGTGGTCCTCTCTCCTTGAACATCAAAATGTTCAAGGAATAATCACCAATTTGCAACTTCTAAGTTGCATTTCCCTCTCC